CGTAATGACCCGTGGTTTGGAAGGGAAAAAGCATATGGCAGTAGACAACTTCCCATCTCTTCACCTCCAGTCTGGGGTGACACCCCACATTCGCTCTCTTTGATGATGTCAGCCAACCGAGGTGGCACAGTGCCAGGGTGGCATTAGGTATGCTGGACAGGTGGCAAAAGAAGAGAGAGGGACACTAGCATGACACCATAATGAGAAGCAATGCCAACTGTTTTCCCGTCTGCCATGGCGGATGGCTCTCTGGACTGTTAAATCACAGAGTTGAGAGGCGTTTCCTGTTTCCCTCACACTGTTTGTCTGTGTGTGTCTCTCTCTTGATTCACTCTCAGCAACCTTTACATAGAATCCATTTATTTCTCCTCTCTCTGATGGAATCGGGTTTCTCTTCTTTGAGCAGCATATCCCTTTTTTTTCTCTCCATCCATTCCCGTTTCTCCCCTGGCAATTTCGGTGGCTGCTTGGTCTGAACCTGACAGTTACTGAATGACACAAAGTGACCGGGCCGTCTGAAATCATGAGGTGTTACACGGAATGATCTGGTAAGAGGATTTCCTGTTGTCAGGCTGTGATTTAGTTGTCAGTAATTGTCAACGAGGCCCCGGAAAACTGCTCTGGACATTTGGGGTCATTTTATCCTCTTGATATTGCTTCATTTGTCTCTTTATCGCGCTGTCTTGCAACTGCATGCTGCTTATAAATACAATGTGGCAAGTTATCATAGATACATATTTCATCAGAATGCAAATACAGATAATTAGGCTGATTATGACTCAGTCTGATAGAGTCTTAATTGTTTTTGATAACCAACTTTCTCTCCGTGATATATTGTAATTCATGACATCAGCGAGTGAAAGTTGCCGGAACAGACCAGTGGAATGTGGCCTCGTCACTGCTAATAATGGACGACGGCTGTAATTAACCCAACACATTGTGTCGCTATAGTCACAGTCTCGTTCAAACAAAGCGGCTACAGGGGTTTTTAATGCGTGTTTGTATTTAACCCAGATTAGGTTGGAGAGTCATGCAATCACATTTGAATAAATGTCTCATTATCTCTAATAGTGTTGGCTTATGGTCGCATGTTATTGTCGGAAATTGTTTCAGGTTAAGACGATTACACAGAGCGCTGGAGGAACGTGCATGCTGATTGCCGTGACCTTGTCAGGGCTTGGCAATTGTTAATTTTTATTTTTTTTTTCTGTCTCGATTTGAACTTTTCTGGATAAAATATTATTTAATTTCATCTACAATTTGGTTTTGTTTTATTTGTTTATTATTATAAAAGTTTTCTGAAGCTAAATATTTTGTATTTTTAAATATAAATTGTTTTTATGTCTTTGTTTTTATATTTATTAGTTGTCAAAGAGAATGTTGTTAGAGAAAGTTACTGGGGTATTTTTTATGCAAATTGAACATTATTTTATTAAATAATAAAAATATTTTGATTGAATTTGTTAATTTTATTTTCTGTGTAGGAATGCAGTGTAACTTTTTTTTCTTTTAATTGTCAATTTTTTTTTCTAATTTTATTATTATTATTAGTTTTTGCACAGAATATTGTCAGAGAAATTTGTAAATCAAAACTTAAAAAGTTTCTGGGGCCAATTTTTTTATGCAAATTGAACATTATTTTGTTAAATGCTAAAAATATTATTTTGTTCATTTTATTTACTTTTTAGGAATGCATTTTTTATTGTGATATTTTATAGTTTGCTGCTTTTTTATTTTTATAAGTTGTCGTGAGGGAATGAGGGTGTTAGAGAAAGTCATGAAACACAGCTTAAAAGTTTCCGGGGCCAATTTTTGAAAAAAATTTTTTAATGCAAACTGAACATTATTTTGTGAAATAATAAAAATATTTAGATTTTTTACTTTTTTGGAATTGCGTTGTACCATTTTTTTTAAAACATTTATTTAAAGATTTACAATGGAATAACAGTGTTATAGGTGTCTCATGTCATTATATACAATTATATGGCCATCTATTATACAATTGTCAAGTGAGTCAAGTCTTTTGTGAAGGGTAAAAATTAACAACAAATAAATAAACAAAATTAAATAAAAATAGTCTTTTAAGATTTATTCTCCAAGAACTCCCATAGAGGATTCCAGATTTGCCAGAAATTTTCAGATATCTGACTTAAGTCATAAGTCAGTTTTTCTAAGGGTAAGACAATGGCAATCTGATTCAACCACATATTGACTAAAGGAATGTTAGAAGAAAACCATAGAAAAAGAATACATTTCTTAATATTTACAAAGGTGTAACAGATTCTACTACATGTCTAAGGTGTAGATTTTTACATTTAGATTTTTACATGTAAGATGTAATTTTTACATTTTGTCATTTTGTTTGTGTTTTTTTTTTTTCATCATCTAGCAAGTGTTACTTTTTGCAACATTTTACTTTGTGTTAGTGTTTGTAGCTGGGTGTTGTGTATTTATAATAAGAGAAGTTTGTTTTTTCATGGGTTCACTTTACCTTCATGCATGCAATTAATTTTTTTTCCTTCCCGTCGCAAAACCCATATCCATGAACACTTCTCTCCTGAATGTCTCTTGTGCTCAGGTACAGGACAAATACCCAATAATTGTTACAAAGTGGGAAATCAATAAAGGTTGCTGAAGGGCTGGGAAAGGTTGTAAATCAATAAAGCAGAGAGGTGAGGGCCTCAAAGGGCATTTACATGGTCCTGAATACTCTGTGTCTGGTTTCTATTACCTTTATACTTGATTGCCTATTGACATGAACTGCGTGTGTCCGTTGCATATTTCCCAAATGAGTTGACCAGTTGAGTTTTGAATGATTTTATAAATATGATTAAATCATGTGTTATACCAGTGGGAATGCTAACGGGTTGGTTTTATTCATAACCACATGTGTTTTAAGTGCATATGTGTAATAAATAATTTTGCAAATTGTAGCATGAAATAGATTCTTATACATTTTAGTCTGACTTTGTATCTAGAAATGAAAGCTCTGCAGTTGCTTTCAAATACAGTACCAGCTATGCGTAGGCTGTTAAAGGCCAAGTCGCAATACAAGAGAAACTTCTTCTTCCATGTTCTCTATTATAATGGCCTTCAAAATATAATTTATTATGTCTCACACTGTCCCTAACAGTCTTGCCCAAACACTTGCCTTCTTAAAAAGACATTAGCTAAAGGAAATGAGTGAAATGTAATTTATATTCAATGTGAAGCAACCGTTGACCCAAAGCAGTTCAAAATGAAGCCTTCTCCTCTATGCTCATCATTTTTCTGTTAAAATGAACGTTGTCTAATTTATAGTGCCATGACAGCCATTTTGCCTAATACACAACAGATGGAAATTCATTATCACCATTGTTAGTAGTCAACAGTCAGCTCATCTAAAAACAAAAGTCTCTGGTAATCATTCACTCTTATTAGGATGCTTTGTTTTGATTAACTTATTTATCGACATACTTACCACAGAAAGTCTACATTTACTTTTTTATGTGTGAATAAGATTTAGAATTAGGTATTGAATAAATATTAATCAATTTGTACAAATAAATAATATTTACAAACAAGGAAGATAGAAAAGGTTTTAATTGCAACATTTTAAATGTCATATTTTATTACTTATCTCTACAGTGTATTTACATTTAAATAAAAGCGTAACATTTAAGAGTGTAGTCATTGTTAAAACCTTTCTGTATGTAGCTTTCATGAAACCGGTTTAGAATTAGTTTTAATAAAAAATAAGCCAAAGATAGACTGATGTTCAATATCTGCTGTATGCTGTAGAGTTCTCGAATCCTAAGATAAATAGAAGTGATGACTGTGAAAGCCTGGGACACTGCATGTGGTTGTTTAAAGTTATCTTGCTTCCCCCTTCCCATGAAATATGGAGTTTCAATCCCATTATATTGATGATAAAACCAAGGAGAAGTAGGCTGGAACCCCCAAACATTAAACACACTTTAATTGTAAAATAAACACAAAACAGTTGCTTTCACAGACATCTTCTGTATACACAGAAACGAAAGCACAACATAAAGTGTTGTTGGTCTGGTCCTCCTTTCTTCCAGTCATCACTTCTCGTTTTATAATTTCAGAGTTCTTCCATGAAACTTAAGACAACTTGTTAACACTTATGCAATGCGACCACCAGATTTGCAACGTAAGAAGAATTGAAAACATTTAAACAATCAGTACCATATATGATGTAAACATACATTTAGAACAGAGAGCACTCAGAAAGGCTCTTTTGCAATGTCGTGCAGATGGAAGTGTTTAAATAAACATTTTCAAGTTGCCTAAGTGTCAAACATACAGCTTGACTAATAGTATGCCTGCATAAATGATTCTGCCATTTCAAAAACACAATGGCATCACCGGTATTTTGGTGCTTTAGCGTAATGCTATTTTAGTACCTGTTAACTATGCAGCTCTATTTTCAGCCTATATGCCCGACAAGTGTTTTTAGCCACTTATAAACTTCCGGTGAAGGGTTGATATGTATATTTTCAATATCATAACGTTTCTTTTAGAGCATTGATGATGTAAAACATGACAAAAGCACAGTCAGTAGCAACAGGAGAGCACTGAAACTCCTGCACTCAGTTTCAAGAGTTCACACTTAGATATTGCTTGACAGCTGTAAGCAGGTTTGGCATGCTGTCCCGGGAGAGAACCCTGAGCTCGGAGATAGTTGAGCTCAGGGCTCCCGCCAGGTCCATGGAGCATGTGAGGGGAGTACGAGATTAGGTGGTTCTCGAGAGCTCCCCTTTTTGTAAAGGAGAAAAGGAGGAGATAGGGGTGGATGGGGGGTTTCTTCGGAAAACGAAGATAAGGGAGTAATGTCTAGCTAGGCTACTTATAGTGGGTTAGGATAGATCTGATTGGCTAACTAATGAGTGTAGATAGGTGGCCAGCTGCAGTCAATTATATCACGTGCTCCTCTCGAAATTAGTTTAAAAACTTCATTTAATGCAGTGCTTCTTGTCCAGTCTGAGACCCACTTTATAAAGTATTTCAATCAGGCAGTGAAGATCATTGATTTTAAGGAAAACAGATCTTAAAACAAGGTGATTTTATTATGGCATGACAGTTTACTATAATTGATTGAGCTAGATTACTGAAAGTCCAGTGCATTCATTTAATCCATCACAAAAACCAACAGCTCGAGTTTTATTTACACACTGTAGTGCCCATTGCTTAAGATCACTTAACAAATTGCACATTCACATGGACAACATACATATACGGCCGGTGAAGCTACATTATACAAAATACAAATTAAAAATATGCATTAAAAGTAGACAAATCTAATATTTCTAAGTGTAAGAGGCAGTACATTTCATCCAGTGATGCTTGTACAGTAGTGGAGTAATGTGAGCAGAAATGAGAACTCTTGCTGCTGAGTTTTAAACACTGCATCCTGGCAATACGTTTTTTTTAGGCAGACCAAAACAATAGGATTGCAGTAATCCAGATGTGACATGATTAATACATGGATTAAGATTTCAGCATCAGATGATTTTAACGAGAGGTTTTGCCAACAGAATAAACAGAAATAGCGAAAAAAGAGGTGACAATAAATATGAAAATGGTTATTTAAAAACTCTCTTCTCACAGATCCATTGAAATTCAGCATCGCATGGGTAATCAGCCCATGCTGATGTAACAGTTAGAACACAGTCTTCTTCCACTTGTCCTCCACCACTACTAGGTTCTCCATAATGCCAGATCCTGCAAGGACAGATCAAAAGGGCTAAGTGTCTAAATTGCTGTTTCAGTTTCAAAGACTCTACTACATGATGCCAGCCGAGGGATAAGGGTGTCATCTAATAAAACAATTTGTCTTATTCTAAAAAGTATTACTTTTTATGTACTTTTTTTTTTACACAAATGCAAGTATTCCACACGTCACAACATGATCACTACAATGTATGTATATCTACCTAATACCGAGTTCCCACCGCGGAAGTTCATCACCATGTTGGTTTCATGAAATTGCCAACAAATGCGAGAAATTGAAGTCAAAAAGGTACTCGATGCGAGAGAGAGTCGCACAGTGTGAAGACATAACCTGAGGGAATCCGTTTAAATTCATACTGCATGAAATGCGGGCGACACAGTGGCGCAGTAGGTAGTGCTGTCGCCTCACAACAAAAAGGTCACTGGTTCGAGCCTTGGCTGGGTCAGTTGGCGTTTCTGTGTGGAGTTTGCATGTTCTTCTGTGATTGAAAATCGTGCAGTATGAACTCGTGAAGCATAATACAAGACGTCATCTCATCATAACATTATAATGTTTTGAATTAGCGATTATTTGTTGTTTTATAACACTTTAGCATATAAAAAAGCTGCTGATAAAACAGCAAGCAATTGTAAAAGAGGGTATTTTATGGAGGTTGGATGATTATTTATGACTTTTTCTGTAATTTACTGTAAATTATTGAATTATGTATTCTTCTGTACTCACAGTTGTTGTTTTTATTTGCTTCTGCTACTTTTGCTACTGTTGGAGTCAAGGCAAGCGCAATTTTTCACACGAATGTGTACTTACTGTTGAGTCAGAATTATTAGATCCCACTTTATTTATTTTTTTCTTGTTTAAGTATTTTCCAAATTATGTTTAACAGAGCAAGGACATTTTCACAGTATGTCTGACAATATTTTTTTTATTCTGGAAAAAGTCTTAGTTGTTTTATTTCAGCTAGAATAAAAGCAGCTTTAATTTTTTTTTTAAACCTTTTTAAGGTCAGACTTATTAGCCCCTTTAAGCTATTTTTTTTTCGATAGTCTACAGAACAAACCATGATCATACAATAACTTGCCTGATTACCCTAACCTGCCTAGTTAATTAACCTAGTAACTAATTAACCGCGTTATGCCTTTCAATGTCATTTTAAGCTGTCTAGAAGTGTCTTGAAAAATATCTAGTCGAATATTATTTACTGTCATCATGGCAAAGAAAAAATAAATCAGTTATTAGAAATAAAAACTATTACGTTTACGTAAAAAAAATCTTCTCTCCATTAAACAGAAGTTGGGGAAAAATATGAATGGGTAGGGGGGCAGACATAAACTGCACTGAATTGATCATATAGTGTGTAAGTTAAGGACATGCATAGTACACAACAAGCATTTGTGGTTAAAATATATAGATTTATATTTAAAAAGATGACTGATCAAAGTCCACTAAATGGAAAAAATCCTAAATTCTTTTTCCCTGTAGACTTTTTTTCTTCAGTAAAGAAAGACATGACATAAGGATGATATAAGGGTTAGGACTGTAAAATATAAGGTAATTTTCATTTTGAATTGTACTGCTATTTTAATAATGGCTCTGCTTAGAGGGACAGTTCATTTTAAAATAAAAACATTTTGTCATCATTTAGTCATCCTTCACTTGTCGCAAAGCTGTTTAAGTTCTTTTGTTGAACACAAAAATGTTAGGAACCGGTAACCATTGATTTCCACAGTAGTTGTTTTTACTTTACTGTGAATGTCACTGCTTACTGATTTTCAACATTCTAAATAATATCTTTTTGGGGGTTCAACAGAAAAAGAAAGAATTATGTTAAAAGAATGTTATTTTTCTGTTCATACTTGCACTAATACCATGTGTGATGTTTTCAATAATAAATAAAACAACTGGGTATGGTTTGTGTGCTTTCATTATAACTTATGTTTAGGGGATTTTGTGGCAGGCTAGTAAAAATGTTGTCAGCACTCCAAAATGTTAACCTTCTTTTATTTTAATAATCAATTCAATTCAGCGATTTCTCACCAAGAGGTTGGTTTGCTGTCATCAACCCATTTCCAACTGCCCTCCACATCACTGTCAGACAGACCAATCCAGGCTTTCTCACCAGCAGTTATTTTATCAACAAAATCCTAAAAAAAAAAAAAAGAATTAATATAACATGGAGTGATAAGACTTTTCTTCATACAGATTTGAGGTTGATTGATATTGAATTTAGCAGATATCAGGATAGTAGTGTTTAAAATAAACAAAATGTCATTTTTTTAATAAATAAAATAATTGTCAAATAAACAAAATATAAAAGTAAATTGTCAGTGCTGTTGGAAGTGCTCACAAACTGTACAGCTGAGGTCACTGTCACTTTCTCCATATGTTTGTTTGTTTGTTTGACTACATTTCATATTGATAATGGTAGGCTGCACAGCCAAGCAATGACAAATGATGCTGTGCACTGTAGAGGGTGTGACATGACTTTGTAATTATAATGTGGAAACCGCTTAAAACCCTCAGTGATTTTGCTTGAATAGCTGTATATATGGTGAACGATTAAGGCAGAGTTGCAATATTACTTAATATAGCCATGTAGTAGCTGTGATTGCTTTTAACAAACATGTTTACAGAACTTAAAGTCCTGTACCAAAACGGTTCAATATAAATATATGGACTGTTAAGCTCCAAAACCATTAAACAACTGGGTCTGTCTTGCATGTATTTTTGTTGGCATATTGTTGTTTAAAATGCCACTAATATTAATGTCTTTACAGCCTTGTGTAGATGATTTTGCTAATGCAGCATTTAGTCAAAATAATGAATTACTGTACATTGTCATGAAACAAAATCAACAAACTCCTCCCAACTGCTCCAGTAACAGATGTAGCCTAGAAAGACTATCGCCAATTATTATTATTGTTTTTATTTTTTTTTTATTTTTTTTGATAACCGATAGCTCTGGGAATTAGCTATCGGTGCAGATATATCGGCAAAACCAACACATCAGTTAAATTCCACCAAAGACTACCATACACTTGTTGGAAAATTAGTTTCACTTACTTGCTCTTCTCTATTGTTTATGATGACCAGATCTGCTCCATGGTTTCTACAGTATCTTCTGCTCTCAGTCCAGCTTTTTTTCAACTTGAAAAAGTAGTAAAGATTGGAACGGTAGTAAATCCATTCTGTAAACACAAGCAGTTCAGCTATTAGCACTTTGTTTCAGTACACAAGAATATTGAGAACACCAAAAAACTACATTATGAGCTTTGTTCAACTTTGCCCTCTGAGCTGAATGAATTTTACTGTATAGTAAAACGATATACACATGATCATCATCACATCATAACAAATGTTACACTTATGTTCAGACAAACTGACAAATGTGAAAATGTAATCAAAGAACACATCAAGTCATTTACATCTACTAATAATTACCCATTTTTAACAGTTCATTCTTTTCTTGATTTAGGTGGTCTCTTTGTTTAATCAGGTCTTGTTCATTTGACAATAATTCATCTTTCTCTTGAGTAAGTCTTATGTTCTTGGCATGTAGCTGATTTTGGTCTTCTGTGAGGTTGGTGATCTTAGTTAGCAGTGTGTCTCTGTCTTCTGTGAGGTTGGTGATGTTTGTTAGTAGCTGGTGTCTCTCTTCAGTGTAGTTTGTGTTGTTTGTATAGATGATGACACTTAACACCATGACTACAGTTAGCAGAAGAAAACACAGTAGCACCAAACACACTGGAGCTGCTCTGGAGTTTTTGATCCTCACAGAATAACTTCCTGCAGGTGCAAAGTTTGACTGATTATTCATTTAATTTCAAGCTTATGTGTTTGTAATGTAAGTCTCAGTACCTGTGTGTTGGAGTTTCTTGCATCTGGTAACCGAGTTGTCCGTTTCTGTCCAAACATCAGAACTGTTGTTTGGATCTGCGTTAGCATAAATTTCCATCTCCTCTTCCTCCTCTCTCTTCATTTTGTGTGTTTCGTGAATATCCATATTGCCGTAATAAGACATTTTGGGTTTGCTGATGTTAAATTTGAGATTATTAATGTTTTTTCTAGAGTTGACTGTGCTGCTCTGCGCTTCCACTTTTAAGGTTTTACTTTTTCAATCCATTCCATTAGTCAAGATCATCATATCCTGTTTTAGTGCAGCAAATAGGACTAATAACAGATGCCTCATGATCATAGCAGATATTCGAAGAAAACGGTTCTGCTCTCACTTTCTGTTCCTTGTTTTTTTTTCTTGCAAGTCTTTGCTTATTGTATTTGCAGTGTGTAGAAGTCCAGTTATATTGTTAATATGTTTTTGTTTGTTTGTTTGTTTGTTTTGTTCAGTTTGTTTTTATGTCTAAGTAGGTTGACAGTTCAGCTTTCCTCCTCCATTTAGAACTTAGCGGAATGAGACACATTAGCATGTGACACTTAGCATGTGGTCAGATTATTTGCAATAAAACAAAGTTTATATATGTTTAACTGTACAGTCACATTGACAACATTGATTTATCTGTAGGCTAGTGTGTGTGTGTGTGCGTGTGTGTGTGTATGTGTGTGCGCGCTCGTGTATGTGTGTGTGTGTGTGTGTGTGTGTGTGTGTGTGTGTGTGTGTGTGTGTGTGTGTGTGTGTGTGTGTGTGTATGTGTGTGTGTGTGTGTGTGAGAATTTGCATTTGTATTAGGAGGGCTTTACTCAAATTGTTTGTTGTGTGTTAAACATTTACTTGTTTTTATAAAACACATCTTAGATTATGTCTGCTAAAGTTTAGTTTAACACTCAAAATTATAAATAGAATTGTGCAATTGTACCCAATAGGAAAGTGGAAGATATCCATTAACTTTTGTTTAGACTACAATAAGACACAAGCCTTTAGTTTTCGATGAAAGCATATGGTACAGCATGTAAAATCGCTGACTGTACATTTTTATCACATATACTTGATGAAGCAACAAATTATACAAAAAATAAGTCGTAACATAAATACAAGTTATAAATGAGCCCTATAAATAACGCAATTAAAGTTAAATGAATAGAAAACAAGGAAAGGATAGTATATAACATTTAAAAAATTAAACAGAGCTTCATCTAATGTCTATGCCAAAATGAGACAGCGAACACCATGAGGAAAAAAGCTTTGAAAAAAAATAAAAATAAAAAATGTTATTTGGAATGCGCTTATACTCAAAGCGCTACAGACACAACACTAAAACACAATGCAAGCAAAACAGCACAACAATAAAAGATACAATAAAACAATAAAAATATGAACCATAAGATAGACATAAAATGTTAAACAAAATGATCATCCTAAATTAAAAGTAAAAAGGTGAGTCTTAAGAAGTCTCTTAAAACAGTCCAGAGAGGCAGCATTCCTAAAGCTGATGGGGAGGTTATTCCAAAGCTTAGGTGAATTAGGAATTACAAAAATCAAGACGTGATGTGATGAGGGCATGAATAAGCCTCTCTGCATCAGGTCGTGAGAGAAATGGTCTGATCCGTGTGTGTCTGAAAAGTGTGGAATTGACTTTGGAGCCTTTTCCAAAATGGAAATGGAAAAAAACTAATATGATTTTTTTCTTTATTTTTATTACTTAAACTTTCTTAAACATCAGCACGAATCAATCAAATTTTTTTATTAAATAATATGTGCAAGTTAAACGACTTTTGTTATATAGAAATGGTAATTAATGGGTGAATTGATTGTGTGAATTGTTAAACAGTATTTAGATAAAACCAACAAACTTTTTTTTTAAAATTAATATTAAAACAACAACATCTCTAAATAAAGACATTTAAAAATCATCACAAGTATATAAGTAGCAGTTAAAAAGCTTTTGATACAAGTTTTGAGGTGAAATTTATATAAGAAAAAGGTTATTTCATTAAAATAATATTAGCAGATCATTTTGCTGTGGTGACCATGAAGAAAATAAGCTGAAGGAAAGTGAGTTAATAAAAAATGAAGTTGAATTTATAATAAATTACAAAATAAAAAATATATATAAAAAACTGACTGTTATTTCATTCTAATAGCCTTTTCACACATGCAGATTGTTTGCTTTGTTTTAAAACAAAAAAATAAAAACTGTTGCAGATTTTCTTCTTGGTTGGATTAGTTGCTTTCACAAGGCAATATTTTTACCCTGCGACATGCAAGTAAATTCTCAGTGATCTAAGTAAACCTATTTATCGTAGCTGACCGGTTGTTGCTCAACTTAATCGTTTTGAGCATGTGTGAGGTATTACTTTAAACTTTGAGTGTGCATTTTAGTTGATCTTATGTCCAAATATCATTTAGGCTTTTCACATTGTCTTTGCTCCTAGTTAACACACAATTAATTCCTAGAGGCATAAGACTACCAAACACTAATAAAAACAAACATACTATCTTATCATACAATCTGATTAAACCTACTCTAGAGTTAATTTTAAAGCTGTCTGAGAACACTTCATTTCCGATTAGTTGGTTTGATGTGGATCCGAGTGTGATTGCCATGCATGTCTTCATACTGTATGTATAAACAAACTGAATTAAAAGAAAAAAACCGTCTCGGGTTACGTATGTAACCATAGTTCCCCGAGAGGGAACGAGACACTGCGTCTAACCAGAACGCTAGGGGAACACCTCTTTTATACGCGTCTTGAAGCACATGTGAAATCAATCTAATGTAATAAAGCAGGTGTCGTCAGACCAGAGAGTATAAAAGCCTGTACTGAGCATTCAGTATCAACTTCGAATTTGCTTGAAAGAAGTAACAGGCAGAAGAGAGTATGGCGGAATACGCAGTGTCTCGTTCCCTCTCGGGGAACTATGGTTACATACGTAACCCGAGACGTTCCCCTTCTAGGGAACTTCAACACTGCGTCTAACCAGAACGCTAGGGGAACGCAATACCCACTAGGCCAGACTCACTGCTGACTGTGAACGCACACTACGCAGTGAGAATAGAGGACCCTGGTGAGGGGTCTACATCGAGTTGATAGTGACGCACAAATGTATGTGGAGTCGACCATCCTGCCGCCAAACAAATGTCAGAAAGGGCTGAGCCCGAAATAGAAGCTTTGGAGGCCCCGACAGCCCTTGTGGAGTGGGCCTTAACAAATTTAGGTGCAGGGCGTCCAGCAGCCTGATAGGTAAATGAGATAGTCTCAACTATCCAATTACTTATTGTCTGCTTATTTGCCGGACTCCCCCTTTTTGAGGGTCCGAAGCAGACCAGTAACTGTTCACTCTTTCTCCAGTTGATAACCCGGTTAACATATGTATTCAGAGCTCTAACTGGGCAGAGTAAGTTTAACTTCTCTTGGTCCGACGACTGAAATGGGGGCGGGTTAAAGGCCTGTAGCACAGCAGGTCTCGCCACATGAGTGGGCACCTTAGGCACGTACCCCGGTCTGGGATAAAGAAAGGCTTTGGACATGCCTGGAGCAAACTCCAGAAATGAAGGTGCAACCGACAAAGCCTGGAGGTCACCAACCCTTTTTAAGGAAGAAATAGCTAATAAGAAAGCTGTTTTTAGTGTCAGAAACTTATCTGACGCCTCCTGCAGTGGCTCAAATGGGGGAACAGAGATGCCCTCGAGCACCAATGTTAAATCCCATGTCGGTACCCTGTGTGTGCTGACAGGCCTTAGCCTTATGGCTCCACGAAGGAAGCGACGAATTAGCGGATCCTGTCCTAGTGACTCATCATCTAGGGGAGAACGGTAGGCCGCTATAGCTGACACGTACACTCTCAGAGTGGATGCAGCTAACCCAGCAGACAGGCGATCTTGGAGAAATTCCAGCACTGAGGCTACCTGGCAGCTGACTGGGTTCAGCTGGTGTTCTCTGCACCAAGCTAAAAAGAGAGCCCATTTTAGGGCATAAAGCTTCCTTGTGGAGGGAGCCCTGGAGCTTAGAATGGTCTGAGCAACCTCGGTTGACAGTCCATACTCTATGAGGTGGGCCCCCTCAGAGGCCACACCCACAGTTTCCACAGGTCGGGTAGGGGATGAAGTATCATTCCTCCCGCCTGGGACAGAAGGTCCCTACTGATGGGGATCTCCCACGGGAGATCCGCCAGCAGGGCTATGAGGTCCGAAAACCAAATCCTGGTAGGCCAAACCGGGGCTACCAGCAGTAACTGTACTCAGTCTTGACGGACCCTCTCCAGGACTCCTGGGAGCAGAGCGATCGGGGGAAAAGCATACAGACGTAGCCTCGGCTATGTCTGAACCATGGCAACCAGTCACAGAGGGGCTGGATGCGAGAGAGAAAACCATAGTACGCAATGCGTGGTCTCTTGGGAAGCAAACAGGTCTACCTGCGCTTTCCTTAATCTTTCCCAAATGGACTCCACCACCTCGGGGTGAAGAAGTTTCCATTCCCTGGATCTCACCCCCTGCCTCGACAGGAGATCTGCTCCCATGTTCAGATGGCCCGGGACATACATTGCCCTGATGGACAGGATTTTGTTCTGGGCCCACAGGAGGATCCGATGTGCTAGTTTGCATAGCATTCGAGACTTCAGACCCCCCTGCTGGTTGATGTAAGCGACCACCAATGTGTTGTTCGTGCAGACTAAAACATGATGGCCCCTTAGATCTGGGAGAAAGTGTTTTAAGGCCAGAAACACGGCCATCATCTCCAGGCAGTTTATGTGCCAGTAATGATGATGTTCTCCCCATCGTCCCACTGCGGGAAGCCCCCTCAGGGTTGCTCCCCAGCCCGTTAGAGAAGCATCTGTCATAAGCATGACGCGATGACAGACAGCCCCCAACACTAGGCCCTGGGACAGGAACCTGGGCATTTTCCACATACTTAAGGCTCGAAGGCAGTGCCGCGAGACCTTGATCATGCGGATCAAGCCCGTTGCTCCCTAGCCCGTCAGAGAAGCATTTGTCATAGGCATGACGCGATGACAGACAGCCCCCAACACTGGGCCCTGGGACAGGAACCAGGGTATTTTCCACATACTTAAGGCTCGAAGGCAGCGCCGCGAGACCTTGATCATGCGGAAAGGATTCCCCTTGAGGGAAAACCCCCTGGATTTGAGCCACCACTGCAGGGGTCTCATGTACAGCAGACCGAACGGAATCACGCTGGCTGCTGCTGCCATGAGACCCAACAACCTCTGAAAGTGTTTCACAGTGATGAACTGGCCTAGTTTGACTCTGTGTACGGTTGACTGAATCGAAGCGATTCATGGCGGGGACAGACGTGCTCGCATCGTCATGGAGTCCCATAGCACACCTAAAGAAATGGTCGTCCTGGCTGGAACAAGCACACTTCTTGCGGTGTTTAACCGAAACCTCAACCTTCTGATATGGGTGAGAACGACATCTCGATGCCGAACTGCCATATCGTGAGTCTGAGCTAGAATTAGCCAACCGTCTATGTAGTTTAGGATACGTATCCCCTGCATACGAAGTGGAGCTAGTGCCGCTTCGACTATTTTGGTAAAGGTTCGAGGTGACAGAGCTAGGCCGAATGGAAGAACCCGATACTGGAACGCTTCGCCCCCGCAAGCGAACCTCAGGTATTTCCTGTGTTGGGGAAGGATGGAAATATGGAAG